CAAACTACAAGATGATAATAATTATTTCTTGGTTTTTTGGTCAGAGGTGGTTATGTCTTATATTTTGAAACAGAGAGAGTAACGTATTATTATATATTAATTTTATCCAGTTGGTTTCGTTTACAACACAATTGATAGAAACGACGTGCCCCATCTCTATAAATTTCGGATCCGTTCATATTATAGCCAAAATAAATCTTGTAAATTGTCAATATTGCCAAGTTTTGATAAGATTTATTATGTATTTAAAAGAGTTTGGTAAAAACACTTAACAGATACATATATCTAATAGGAAAAAGTACGAATTATCCCCCGAACAATCGCCGTCGTCCGAATTACCCCCCTGAACCACAAAACCGGACATTCTTCACCCTGAACTTTCAATACCGGACAAAATACCCCCCTCGACCCAATCCACGGTGGTTTTGATCTATGTGGCGTACGCGTGGCAGCTGAGTCAGCATTCTATTTATTAAAAAAATATGGGACCTACATGTCATACTCTTCCTCTCTCTCTCTCACGGGCGCGAGGCCGGGCACACAGAGCTGCGGCGGCGGCGGCGGCCGGCGGTGGGGGATGAGGGTGATGCGGAGGCGGCGGCGGTAGCGCGGACTCGCCGGAGTCGGACGTCGCTGCGGCGGAAGCGGAGAGGTCACGCAATGTAGAGGCGAGGCGGGTTGCGTCGCGGCGGTGGAGCGCGGCGTGGGCCTCGGCGAGGAGCTGCTTGAGTGACGGCCGGGGCAGCGGAGGGGGACCGAGGACGGCGACGGCCGGGGGCGGACCAGTTGGGGGCGACGGTGCCGCGCGCGCACGGGGAGGCACACGGCGGCGTCGCTTTCTTCCCGCGCTCCAGGCCTAGCGGCGCCGCGCTCGCACGAAGGGGCACCGGCGGCGGCGACAGCGCACGAGGGAGAAGGCTGGGCCAGCGAGCTTGTTCGCGCGGGACCGGCGGCGGACGGGGGCGGAGGACGCGCGGATCTGGAAGGACGATGCGGGACCCCGACGGCCCCCGCGCGCCGCCGTCCTCCGCTCGCCCCCAAGCGCCGCCGTTGTCCGCGGCGCCGGGCCGCCGAGCTCACTTGTGCCGCCCATACTCGCCGGCGTCCGCCGTCCGCCCCCCGCACACCGGCTTCCACCACGCGCCGCCGTCGTCCGCAGCTCCGCGCCACCGTGCGCACTTGCGACGCCCCTACTCGCCGCCGTCCGCCGCCCGCCCCCGCGCGCCGCCATCCGCCGCGCGCCCCCACGCGCCGCCGTCGTCCGCAGCTCCGCGCCGCCCCCACTCGCCGTCGTCCGCCGCTCGCCCCTGAGCGCCGCCGTCGTCCGCCCGCCGCTCCGCACTTGCGCCTGCGCGCACAAGTGAGACAGAACGGAGAGAGAAATTAGGAAGAGGTAGAGTGGAGGCATGACAGGTGGACCCCACCAATTTTTTTTTAAAAAAATGCTGACTGGACTGCCACGCATACGCCACGTAGGATAAAACCGCTATGAATTGGGTCAAGGGGGGTATTTCATCCGGTATTGAAAGTTTAGGGTGAAGAATGTCCGGTTTGTGGTTCAGGGGGTAATTCGGACGACCACGATAGTTTGGGGGGGTAATTCGTACTTTTTACTATCTAATAACTTTACCAAAATTTGATAAGATTTATTTTGGCTAGATATATTATATATACCACGGACATCATTTTCAACACTTTTTTTTTCTCTCGTGCTACGTACATGAGCGTAAGATGGGAGGAGGGGACGAAAAAGAAAACTCATTAACAGATAGCAGCAATTAACGGTGGCAGTAGCATGAATTGGAACGGTTACTGTCCCGTGAATTCGTCAGCACTCAGCAGTAACTGGCTACTGGCTAACTGCCATCCCCAGTCAGACAATGGGCAACGTACTATCGCGATCGATCGATCTGCTGCCGTTCAGCAGTATCAGATAGAGCAGCAAAATAAAAGTCATCACAGGGGAGAAGTGGCCATCTTCAATGACGGATCGATCGATGGATGGATCGCCTGGATCTAATTAGTCCAAGCTCGATTAGCACAAAGCACCAAACCCTTAATCCAAAAGCGACGCTAGCTTAGCTCGATAATGGGGGACACTAATTAATAATGCATGGCGGACAGCAACATCACCTCACCTCACCTCACCTCACCATGTTAATTATCTTGCCACAGAATACACAGAGGCTGTTTGTGTGTGAGTGTGAAATGAACTTTAATTAATTAGCTTCCTTAAGGCAAGCAGGGATAATGGTTTGCTTGATTTTATCCGGCCAGCATTGTCCACTCATGGTGTCCAATCCATCTGATCTTACCTACATGTTGCAAAGCTCACCTCAGCATGCAGTGTGAAATTTTAAGATGGGGATGCTGCACCTTGCAAATTCAGACACCTTTTGCATTTTAAGAAAGGAACACTGATCTTGACATTTTGTCCATTGGGGGATGTTATTTGTTTTTCTCCCCCTAAAACAGATAGGGTGGTTATCTTAAAGCTCAAATTAGTGTGTGATTAATTATGTGATATGTGTGGCACCTTATCATTCTTGAACAATCCTAGAAGTAGCATTACTGATTTTAATATAAGTTGTTTTAGAGTTATGTATAAGAATTAATTGAAGGCCGGTTTTGTTTGTTGCTAAACTAAACGTGTCAAATTTTGATGATGCTAAATTTAAGTAAAGGCAACAAACCAAACATGTATTGGCCATTACTACCCTATCAAATATTAGCGTGATAATACCTTTTAGCCACTCCAGAGAGATGGGTGGCAAATTGCCACTTTGTGATAAGGACGAGACGGATATGGTAAAGAGTGTCAAATAATTAAATCCCCAAATTGTGGCAACTTCGAAAGCTTGCACTCCAAAAATGCTGCACCCAATTTTGGTAAGGTTCTAAACCAAATATTACATCAACATCTTTATATAACCAAAATTTGGCATTAGGGTTAATTTTAGCGACAAAACAAACAGGAACTAAGAAATGAAATATTGGGAAAAAATGAGTCATATTTATTTATTTAGGAGGCGCAGACGTGGAGGAAAAGGATTAAAATGTATAGTAGATGTTTCAAAATGACTTGCACTAAAGAAACAAGTCTAAACCGTCTTATATTTAGAATGAGAGATGGTAGTTCAGAGTCCATCTAGCGTAATGGAAAAAATAATCTTTCTCACAAACTAAAGTGTCAAGTCATAAAATAAACATGTACTGTCTGATTTTCTCTCCGAGTGGTATGAGCCGTTAGATCATTATTTGATTGGCGAAATTTCTCCTCGATCCTTCGTGAAATTTCAAATTTCTACTTTTTTTCCTTTAGTATATGAACCATCAATATAACCCTGTAGAGATCTTGAAGATGATTGCACAGACCAAAAAAAGTGATACCTTCCACTCCATTTGCTGAGTACTACTGTCCTAGCTAGAGCCATAATTCTTGTCGAGATCCCATAATCACTCACTGGTACATCAACTGACAGCCTACCACACTATTAAAGAGGAGTAGAAAGCTACACATTTAAGCAAAGCGATGTGGTTAATGGATCGATCCAGTACATATATTTTTTGCTGAATTGTTTGCCTACACTGCACTTAGTTCAATAACTACATCTTTGGGAGTGTACATGTAGAATTTGCACACATTTTGAAGCAACAAAATTGTCATTCTTCTTTTTTTTTTCTTTTTCAGTTTTGACAATACGTAGTACAAGCTAGTCTAGTCGGCAGTCACCATCTCGATCCTATTTCGAAGCTTTGCTGTTTGGTGAAGAAATTAGAAAAAAAGGTAGTAGTAGTAGTAGAAGTAATATCATGTGATTGTTTGATTTGTACAGAACGTACAACGTCTGCATCCTGCTCATCTCGATCATGGCAATGTAGCTTGGATGTACCAATCTTGAGGCTGCAGCATGTCGGCAAAATTTGCGTGAGAGATGACTAACAATAACCATTGGATGGATAGAATGCATCATTGCATCAGAGTCACTTGCAATAAAATGAAGCAGTACAAATTCTTCAGAAATTAGCTAGGAAAAAAAAACAAATTCCCAAAATATTTGTTGTTAAAGGAAAAGAGCAAAGCATGTGATTTTTCATTGTAACTATATCTGAAAATGTATCAGCATTCTGATCATTTCACATCTGCCAAGGTTCATTCAGCAAGTTGGGAAAGAGGCTCAGAACTGAAGATTCATACGAGAAGTCGTTTCATCTGTACCCTGATGTCTGAACTATTGTCGAAAATGATGCAATACCCATCTACAACAATATGTTTTTTTAATACGCAAAAAAAGAATAAAACTCTTAATAAAAGATAACATTTTGGAACGACCTAGCGACCTAATGCACTATAAAATATAGCGACCTAGTAATACAGTAGTACAAAAGCTCTGAATTTATTTGCATCGGTCATGCTCTCCATGATTCTCCACGAGCTAGCAATGGCCCATGGGCCATCGGTGTGTGAGGCCCAGTAGATTGGGCTTGGGCTAGTCTAAAAACAAAGAGTTGGGCCGTGAGGATATGCCCTAGACTTTGTCATCGGCCGCCGCCGCCTCGCGGGCGACGAGCTCGTCCGCCGCCGGCGCCGATCGTCTACGCGCGCGGCATGCCATCGCCGACGAGGTCTCGTAATGGCGAGCAGCAGCAAGCGCCCGGCTGCCTTGATCCCGTGCGGAGGCAGCAGCAGGAGCACGCGCCGGCGGCTGACGGCCGGTCGGCCGCCTCCGCCGTCGCCGCCACTCGGGATGATTCGTCGTGGGCATCTCTCCCGGAGGATCTGGTGAGCCACCACCTGCCCGCGCGGCCGTGTCGTCGCCGTGCAAGCTGCGCGGGGTTCGTCAGCTTCTTCAACCTCTCCACCGGCGGCGCCATCGCCCGCGTCCGTCTCTCTCATCTTCCGCGACCACTGCGCGACCTCTGACTCTGATACCATATTAAGTAAGCATGTTGCACTTTATAGGAAAAGACAGGCAATTCACTTTATACACTCCAACAACCGCCATCATCCGCCTCCTCCACCCCCTTCACCGGCGGCATCGCTGAGTTCCCGCCGCTGGACACCTAGCTGCCATACGTGAGCCATGTGAGGTAAGTGGTTTTGTCTCAGAGACGTCGAGGCGCGCGCCGCTGTCAGAGTGGCCGCCGGTGGAGTCGTCTCGCTCACGATGTGGCTATTTGGAACGGTGTATGTGTCCGTCGCCATCTCCGGCGATAAGCAATGGATGAATGGAGGATTTCAACAAACAGGAGAATGAAGAATTTCTTCTCCCCATTGTCATTCCAAGGCAAGCTATATGTGTTACTCTCTCTGTCCCATTTCAAGTGCAATTGTGAGTTTCCGTATTCAATGTTTGACTGTCTATCTTATTTAATTTTTTTATGATTAATACTTTTATTGTTATTAGATGATAAATTATAAATAATATTTTATGTGTGACTTTATTTTTTAATTTTTTTTATAAAATTTTAAATAAGATGGATGGTCAAATATTGGACACCAAAACTTACAACCACACTTAAAATGAAACGGAGCTGAGGGAGTATATGATCATGCCAATTTACGATGAACCAGAGATTGCAGATCGATTCACCGACGGACACCTCGCCGCCGCCGCCAAGATTGATTGCCAAATGTCCAGCAAGAACACCCGAAGCACATTTATCCTACAATTTGGTGGAATGCGGCTTGGAGATTCAGATCTGGTGACCACCTCAAATCTTAGTAGTGTTCATCGGCATTTTTCAGTTTACAGGCTACCCGACCTTATGCTGGGAATGGTTGTCCTGGTGAGCACCATCGGTTGCAATTCCCTCTTCCTTGGTAAGAGGAATCTATGTGTCAACTCCAGTGCGTTTCTTACCATTGTTAGCGACACCATTGTCTTTTACCATCACATGGAATTTTGTCTTGCACAATACAACCTCGGAATCGGCCCTGTTCTTTCTCTAATAAGATTTGGATGAAGATTAAGATTTTCGTGCCACACTTTTCAAACTGCTAAACGGTGCGTTTCGTGTGAAAACTTTCTATATGAAAGTTGTTCTAAAATATAAGATTAATCCATTTTCAAGTTTATAATAATTAAAACTCAATTAATCACACGCTATTACCACCTCGTTTTACGTGAAACACTTAATATTCATCTCTATCTTTATCTTCAGGAGATTCAAACCCCGTCATTGTCGCCAGCATCATAAAGACGACTTACGGCGGATTTTATACCAAGTCCTACCAGCATCATTCATCATATCTACACATGTTGCTTTAATAGACAATGGTTGGTGACCAATTTTTTTTTAACTCCATTGTTCTCTTTAGTAGTAACCATTCCTTTGATTGGAGCATTTTGTGGTGCTAGAGGTAATTAATCAAGCTCATTGTTTCCCTTATCTGCCTGAAGGAACAAGGGACAGATAAGCTTTCAGAGAGAAAGCAAGGGGTAGAGAGTGAAAAGAAAGTGGAGAAAGGGGGTAAGTGAAGCCTTGCTTCCAGGGGAATGATTCTATTGGGCTTCTCCAACATTCACTGATTATTGCACTTGCACCCAGGGCTTACTAGTTATTAGGTGTTTTCCTAATATCAATTTAATTATTAGGTGTTTTCCTAGTATTAAAGTTATACTATTAACAGTCCCAGATCAGCTGTGCGGCTGTAGCTTTGCATTTTAATTGGATATAATGTATTGCAATTAGATGTACACACATTTCTCGATTGGGTTTACAAACCGTTACAAGTGTCTGTATTCATTACCAGCACTGATTGCTTATTTTCTTGACAAACATTTTGTGTGTGTTAGTTACAACTATTGTTATAAGATGTTCTTGGTTCAGCTTTGCATTTGTGCTTAACCGGCCGCACAAATGAACTATTAGTTGCACCAATATGTGCCAGGGTTCACAATTCCAATGGAAACCGGTCGAATTCCGCGAAATTCCGAGGTTTCAACGAGGCTCGAAAGTAGAAACCGTCTGATATTTCGATGAGTTTCATTCAAATTCAAATTTGAATTGATAAAAAAGGGAAAAAATCAAATAAAATCTTATAAATAATATGATATTAATAGAACCTATTGGGATATAAATTTTCGAAAAAAATGATGTATTCCATGTATTTACTGAAATTTACAGTAGAAAAGAAAAGAATAACGAATTAAAAAAAGGAAATCAATTTTAGTTTACCTCTTTTTCTAGCTACCGATTGAAATTTCGATGATTTCACCCGGAATTTCGCCAAAGCCGACCGGTTTTCATGAGCTTATCGGTAAACTAAGGGAATTTGTATTTAAATTTTGGTTTATGAAATTTGTTCGGAATCTACCGGCTTTCCACCGGATTAGTATAAGATATGTGCATACAAGGTTGGCAATTATTAGTCTCACAGCTGCTTGTCTGGAGCTGCTAAAGGGCTTAGAAGAAGTACTGGCTTCTTAGGTTTTGCAACAAAAAATTGCAATCAATAAGTAGTGACCTTGAGGACAAAGTACAACACAATTTGATCAGTCATGAACCTGGAGAGTGTATATGTTCCAAGCTCTCTTAGATAACTCCCTAAGCACAGCAGCCGCAATCAACACAACTGAAATTTGGTTATCGTTGTCATTTATGATTGCAACGTTGTCTCTATTAAAATCATACCATGACTTGTTACCATGCAAGACTTTTTTGCCTGTTAGCGCTGAACTTAATTAGCAGAGAGAAAGCAGGTGTATTTTTCCGACGATATGCATATGTATTTGCAAGTTATTGAATTGTTAGTTGAAGTGTTGAACACGCATTGCTCTTATATGTTGGTTTTCTAGAAGCTTAATATGTTCACTGTTCAGTAGCTATAGATGTTACTTTGTCTTTTGCATATTTAGGATCGCATAGATTCTCTATATCAATGTTTCATTATGCATGATTTTTCTAATGTTTTATTTGACTTGATTGGTTCAGTTAATATATATAATGACTGACTTGGCACATGTTTTTCTAGGCGTAAAGCCGTAAACAGCTCCCATTCTATGTTGGTGGTGCCTGCCTGCCTGGTTTTCCTTTAGGGATCAACATTCTGTTGATTTTTCCACAGGGAAAGTAGTTCCCTGTGTTGTGGAAGATTTGCTTTGGCATCCTCCATCATGCTATTATTTCTAGGACAGATGCTTTTCTGCACCGTGGAATCCTATAATGTAGTTATTAGGATTTTTCTAAGCTGTGGTTATTGAAGCACTAATTTAAGTAATTGCCCTGGTATTATTAATGGAGCTGTAATTTGTACTATTAAATGTCTTAATGACAAGTAAGGGGTATGAGTATGACACTGCATATTCATGGTTGGCAGCTTTGGAACTAAACACTAGTATATTACTGTGCCCGAGTATTCATAACTATTTCAGCATTAGTGTTATCTATCAGTGACATGACATCTACAACTCTGCAAAATTACCTAATGTCGGAGATGCTCTAATGTCCAATATATTTATCTTTTTGCACCTGTTTGTGATGTGTTTATCAAGTTGTATATCTTGTCTTGGTCCCATGAAGATCATGTTGTGTTGCCTCAAGTAGAAATTGAAAGATAAGAAGATGGTTAGCTGACAATGCAGCTGATGGTTAAAAGAAAGAAAAAAAATGTAGCCGACGAGGTCTGCAGTTGATATCTTTAATATACCAAAGGTATTTGTGCTTCCGCCCAGTGATTTGGCTTGTTGTTGGATTCGCTTGTACCCTCGAGTTAGTACTTGCTGTTAAAGGAAAATGGCAAACATGTGATTTGTTACTGTTATTATATCTGAAAATATATAAGTACATGCTGCCAACAATCATTCATCATTTCATCCTTAGATTTCAACGATCGAGTTCGTTTATCTATATTCAGAAGTCAGAAGTTTGAACTATAGTATTGCCAAAAGATATTTCTCAGGAGGAAAATAATACATTAGTCATTTCAGTTTATTGCAACAGTTCATAAAAAGAAAAAAAATCGATTCCAAATACAAAACTCAGAATTATTTTCATGCAAGGGAATGCTGCTATAATCTCAATAGTCCACAGGCCAACCCACAGGGTATCAATGGCCCATCACCCATGGGTGGGCAGGGCCTGGGAGTTGGACACTTGGGCTTCATCTCGAATATATGTGATGGAATTTTGATTCTTCGCCCTACAAAATAGTTAATACTCTGATGCTTTAACAGTGTGAAAAAAATACTACCTCCATATTTTAATATATGACGCCGTTGACTTTTTATCTAACGTTTCACTATTTGTATTATTCAAAAAAATTATATAATTATCATTTATTTTATTGTAACTTGATTCATCATCAAATGTTCTTTAAGCATGACATAAATATTTTCATATTTGCACAAAAGATTTGAATAAAAGGAATGATCAAACTTTGATTAAAAAGTCAACGGTGTCATACATTAAAGCGTAATTTGGAACCATGCCATTATAATTTTACAAAGTTTGAGATATGCCATCGGTATCTTAATGACATGTAGTACCCACATGAGTCAATGACATGTGGGTCAGAATGACATATCTCAAATTTTACAAAATTATAATGGCATGGTTCCAATTTTCCCTACATTAAAATACGGAGGGAGTAGTATATTTTGTTGCCACTATCAATTATATTTGACATGGCTACATGAGTTTAATTATAACTTTTGACATGACTGTCATGATAATTCATACAATCACAACCAAAAATAATCATGACATATTAAACTATTAACACAACTTATCTATTATCATCTGGTTATGTCTAAAATTCATATATAACTAGTTATCTGGATTTCTACTTTCTAATAGGAGTTTTGCTAGAAAGAAATCCAAAATCTGGCCGGCCATTAATTCATCACAATGGAATTGTAAATAAAAAAGTTATGAAATTATAGATGCAGAATTGCCGACCACAGACAAGTTTGTTTTTAGAACTAATATACTCCCTCCGTCCCTAAATAGATTTTGGTTGGATGTGATGCATTCTAGTACAACGAATCTAGACATTTGTTGTACTAATATGTGTCACATTCAACCAAAATCATTTTTTATTTAGGGACGGAGGGAGTATATAAGCCGTATATAAACACCTCTCCCTCGTGTTCCGCGCACACCATTTTTAAATAACTAAATGGTGCGTTTTTTTAAAAAAGTTTCTATATGAAAGTTTCTTAAAAAATCAAATTAGTTCATTTTTTTTTAAAATAGCTAATACTTAATTAATCACGCACTAATATACCGCTCCATTTTTCGTGCGAACTGTTTGTTTCCGGTTGGAAACTAGAGATGCTGAACGCAGCCTAATCCAGTTTGACATGGATACTATACAAAACACACACCCACTTACAAGTGGAGCCCACAAAAAGTAGCAAATCCACTGCTGTACACTGTACTGCACCTGCAGTATGTGTCACTGGCATGTGGGTTCCACCTATTCCGGGCCCACATGTCAGTGGCACTTACTGCACATACATTACAGGAGAGGATCCCAATTGGCACACCATATCCTTTCCTCTTCGCAAGCCTCCCCCACCTTCATCTCCTCCTCCGCCTCCTCGCCTCCCCACCCCTTCTAGAACCTTCCAGAACCCCAGAGAGGCGGCGAGATGCACGGCGTCCTCACCTCCCCGTGCCTGCGCCCCCCTCCCCTCCTCCGCCGCGCCTTCCCGAGCCCCGCCACCCGCCTCCTCCCGCCCCAAACCCTAGCCCTCCGCCCGCTCCCCCTCCCCCGCGGCCTCCGCTCGTCGCCGCCGCCGCCGCGCGCCGCGGCGGAGGCGGCGGCTTCGGCGGTGGGCGGGCTGCTGGCCCCGCTCTCGACGCTGGAGGTCGGCCTGCGGAGCGTCAACCTCGCGCCGCTGCGGGCGCCGGTGGCCGCGGCGATGTCGGCGGTGGTGCGGTGGCTGGGGGTGTACAGGGAGGTGCTGCTCGTCGGCGTGCTCTTCTCGTGGTTCCCCAACATCCCCTGGGACCGCCAGCCATTCTCCGCGCTGCGCGACCTCTGCGACCCCTTCCTCGCGCTCTGCCGCGAGGTCATGCCCCCCGTGTTCGGCCGCAAGCTCGACCTCAGCCCGCTCATCGCGTTCATGGCCATTGACATCATCATCATGATCCTTCGCCCGCAGCCACGCATGTGATTGCTCCCGGTGGTTATGGTATGGCATCTTTTGCTTGGAGATAATTATCCGTCCTTGCAAGTTTATGATTATGCAGTAGATGCATAACTAGAGTATAAAAAAATCACGTTAGAAGTTTTAAAAGATGCTCTGGGGGCTAGATATTTATGTATTGCGCATTGGATATTTATGTACTGCGCATTGGAGGATGAGCTACTTGGTTATATTGTGATGCCTCTTAATTTGCAAATGGAGACTAATGTTATGTACTTGCTTGCAATTGTATCGATAATGCAAGGCTATGGATGGTCGAATCTCGTAGTTACAAATGATTTTTGAAAACAATGTAAATTGTCTTGTTGCCTCTGTTGTTGATAAGTGGAGTAAACCATATCAATATAGGTGTGTTTCATGTGTTAATCAGTATTTATTTTGTGCATAAATAATGAGTTCCAATGGCCTTTATGATACAAACTTTGCTCATGGAAGTGATCAAACAAACTTGCAACATGTCAATCACAGCTGGTCTTGCATTATGTAGTGTTGAGAAAATTCCCAGATTGAACCTTTACCAGTTAACCGACAGGGTTGAGCCCAAAGATGTCCAACATAGGTTATGGGCCTTTTTTTTCATTTGATGTGAATATTGGATTATTATGGTAACAAAATGTGGAATTATCGCATGGTGGTTTAATAGTGACAGTTTATAACATAGGAAACCTCATAAAATTGCCAGTCTCAAGTGTGTCTATTCAAGCGTGGCAGGTCTCTATTTTAGAATCTACACCTATATGACTTGTGTGTGGTGACCCACTTTAAAGTCCAGTTGTCCACACATAGAATGCAATTCCTTTCCACCTAATTTTCCAGTGTGATTACTTAGGGGGTGTTTTGATACCCCTAACTAAACTTTAGTCCCTGTCACATCGGATGTTTGGATACTAATTAGGAGTATTAAACATAGACTAATTACAAAACTAATTGCATAAATGAAAGCTAATTCGCGAGACAAGTTTTTAAGCCTAATTAATCCATATTTAGCACATGTTTACTGTAGCAACACATAGGCTACTCATGAATTAATTAGGCTCAATAGATTTGTCTCGCGAATTAGTCCATGGTTATGGAATGGGTTTTGTCATTAGTCTACGTTTAATACTTCTAATTAGTGTCCCAACCTCCGATGTGATAGGGACTAAAATTAGTCTCCCTGCATCCAAACACCACCTTAGATTTCTGAAACAGTATTTTATAAATTATAAGTTAATTAGAAGCGTTCTCTGGGGTTGAAGTACGATCCAAAGTAGAGGCAATCATGTCATAACTTAGACAGGTAAATATAAATTTCAGTACATATCAGTTATGATAGTTGAAAGCTCGAAGCTGAATGTGAACAAATAGTTCTGATGCATATCCTTTTTCTGGACCACATTCTGGCTATTCCCATCAAAAGCGTGTAGCTTCATTGCATCTTAGAGTTTGAACTTTGACAATCTGAATGACTACATTTTTTTTCTTTGTGGGTGATTTACTGAGTTGCATTGCATCATAGATCATTGAATACTTGCAAGCTGATACTTTATTTTGAATTGGTTGTTGACCAGTATGTAAATCTTGATCTCAATTTCATTCTAGTGTAAGTGGGGCCTTGCTGCCTTGGGGAAGCCCAATTTACAGCGTGGTAGTCCAAGTTGATATCACAACCAGAATATTTGCTCCCATAACAAGTACTCAATATAAGAAAAACTAGATTGGTGCTACTCCATAGTTACCACTTTAGATGTATGCCACTGATCAGTTGAGGCTTAGAAATATGTCATTCCAAACTGGCGTTGCTTCCAAGCATGCCATTGTATACCCTTTGCCCGATTTTTTATCTTCTTTAGCAATGCATTTTTGACTGGATGTTTTTTACCACTGGCTATTCCTGGCCCCACCCAAGACCTGAGCTCTGAATTCCCTAACTCATTCCCAACCCGACCCCAAAACCTTGATCGAACGGCAAGCCATGGCAGCCACAAAAGCGCGCTGAACCGGAATATGTTCTTCTCCTCCGGTCCTGCTGACTTCACTCTGGAGAAGATTCTGAGGATGGATCTGTCGAGTTGCTTCTCCACCCAGACTAGTCAGGGCCATGCGAGGTTTTTGTATTGAACCGTGTCAGATTATTAATTAGAACAATACCATGAACTATGTCAGTTTAACACTATGAACAATGTCACATTTAAGTGAGGCCTGGAACTTGAACCATGGATTCATTTCATTTTACACCCCCCCCCCTAAACTACGAAACAAGACAAAATACACCCCTCATCAATTCAATCCGGACAATTAAGCCCCCCTCATACCCTGTTTTAGGTGGTTTAGAGCTGAGTTGTCTTGATAATCCACTGAATCTTGCAAACTTAGCTTGATGCAGGCACTTGTTTTTTACCTGTGCCATTTCTCCCAGATGGCACCTCGTGGTCTTTGGAACTCACAATTTGGTGCATTTCAGTGACTGACTCATACAGCGAAGAACATATACCGTTAGTAGATCAAAACATCAAAATGTAGCCATGCAATGTAACAGCAAAACCCCCCAAGTTCTGGACAAGAAGAAATTTATCGTTGTTTTCTGTCATATAAATCAGTTGTTTGCAGAAACCCCCAAGGTCTTTACAGAAATATAAATCAGTTGTTTCCTGTCATATATATTGTTTGTGCAATGAGGTCTGTGCCAAAAAAAAAAAAAAAGAAACAGAAGCAAGGACAAGGAACAAGTAATATAAGTCTTAATAGCACCAGGTTGACATTGTAATGACAAACAGGGATTTGTTCTTTATGAGAACACAAAATGTGTCAGAAGCAAGGTTTGTATGAGAACAAGTAATGTCAAGACAACTCAGCCCTAAACCACCTAAAACAGGGTATGAGGGGGTTAAGTGTCTGGATTGAATAGATGAGGGGTGTATCTTGTGGTTTTATAGTTGAAGGGGGTAAATTGTACTTTTGCAATAGTGTTGAGGGGGGTAAATCGGACTTGACCCTTCCAATAAAGACAGTGAACTGCTTCATCAGCTTCTAGCTGTGCTCAGTTTTTTTATGGACTTGAACAAGCCACCCTGAATGTGTCTTCATCCCACTTGATGCAGCGAAAGCCTGCCCTGTGCAAAGGTGTGGGCAGTAGAGTCGCTCTCAATTCCTATGGATGCCAATGCATTGTGAAGAAAGGAGGCACTGCTGGAGGGGCTAGGTTAGAGGATGAGATGGGGACAAGATGGTGTAGTACTAATGTTGGCTGGAGCTTGGACTAGACAGGGGTTACTCTTGTCCATGCACACAAAAAAAAAAATTCAACAATATAATATGTAAATTTGATTAAAAGTGGCCAAGGGTACATATTTTACCTTGATGTTTGTTTGTTGAGCATTCACATAGATTACTTCAGAAAAGATTGAGAGTACTGAAAGGCCCCCAAAATTTTATGAGTAGCAAAGAGATCATCAGTTGCTAGGAGCTCGATTCCAATGAAGTGTTTAGTTATTTCAAAACTGGTACTTGCTTTCTTCAGTATTTAAATGCATCATGATGTTGCAGGGATTGGAGGATGCTGGTTGGTAAATTAGGTTTACTATCGGGGCACAGGCTATTTTCGGTCAATCAACAAGGGATGGTGCTGCTGAATTTTGCAAGACAAGAAATGGTTGGTTGAGTAAAGTTGCAAAGCCAATATAGTTCTTCTAAAGGTAGCTCAATTTGAGTAATTTCGAGAAGTTTGTTTTCAAGTGTAGCTCTTCTATGTATGGCACTCGAGGATTGTACAAGTAGTATATGTGCTAGCTACATTTTTTTTTTGTTTTCTTTGCAAATCTTGCTCTCTGCTCGGATTGGCAGTACATCCTGCACATGCGTTTAATGTGATTTCAAATTATTGTATCTTAAGCGTCTAGGCTCATGTTCCTCAACGGTTTGTGACAATTCTTCTGGAATCTCAATTAACACAGGCACGAGCTTATATATTCATATACGCTTTTCTGATCTCTCTGCTGTTTTTCCTCCATGACTTTTATGTTCCTTTCTGATCGAATAATTGTCGTGATGCAATCACATGTTCTGGTTGATCGTTGAGGGTTGAGACTCAAAATGTCAATTCGGTACAGCTTTGTTTGTGTCATCATTGAACAACCGCCTCATATTTTATTCGTGCTATTAGCTGTTGCTACCTCTTGAAAATGTATTCGAGAAAGTGAACTGAACTGACCCAGCTGCTTCGCTTAGGATATGCAGGAGGCAGCCGCCTAACTGGATTCCTTCTGTTGTCTTCAACCGATATCAACAAGGTCGACCAACTCTGAATATTTCGCAACGCACTCCATGAATCCATCTGAATGTGCGTTGCTACAGAAATAATTACTCCTGCCATATTCTTTTCAGTTTATTTACCGAATTATTTGCACCATGCTTTAACAAAACAATCTCAAAAAGATGTTTTCTAGCACATTATTAACTTGTCTAAGCTATTTATTATGTTTATTTTTTAATAATTCGTTTAATAATCTAAATCAAACATGACCGATCTCCCAAATTCCAATTGTCAATATTTGTTAATTTCAACTCGTACCATCGATGATTTAATAGTAAAGATAATATCTGTTATTGTAAGGCATTATTCCATAAACTACATTGACTAGAACACAAAACAATATAGTACCAACTTGACTAAACTAATATGGAGCATTTTCTTTTATACCATTGGTCAAATTTGATTATTGTAAGTCAAAATTAATACTCCTTCCGTCCCATAATATAAGGGATTTTGAGTTTTTGCTTGCACTGTTTGACCACTCGTCTTATTCAAAAAATTTGTATAAATATAAAAAACGAAAAGTTATGCTTAAAGTATTTTGGATAATAAAGCAAGTCAAAAAAAATAAATAATAATTTTAAATTTTTTTGAATAAGACGAGCAATCAAGAAGTACAAATAAAAAAAACTCAAAATCTCTTATATTATGAGACGGAGGGAGTACGAATTTATGGATGGAGCTCTCGATCAACATACCAGATGGCTGGGCCCACATGTCATTGCAGGTCAAAGCAGAGCGGAGCAGTAATTAATTGGCTGCCCCATGTGTCAGGGAGCAAGCTCCAGTGACCAATCCCCACTGCCCGTACCGTTTCAACGATTACCCGCGGCCATTAACGCCCCGCCACGTCACAAGCGGAGGGATCTCATCGTGAATCTCGCACGCTAAATTAATTATTATTTCTATCCACTCCGGTCTCCGGATAAACACGAGTCCGCCTCGCGAGACCCGTATATGTCGGAGGCATATGCTGCCGATTCACCCCTATCCACTGCCAGGTGGGCCCGCCTCACCAACCGCCCCTCCCCCGCTGCCACTGACAGGTGGGCCCAGATCCCCGCGGCCCCACCGGCCAGCCTCACCGACGCATGTTTCACCCACCCCTCCAAAAACAACTCGTCGCCCTGGCCCGTGTCTCTCTCCTCCCCTTCCCCTTCCCTTTCTCCATTTTTGCAAGGGGAAAAAAAGAGAGGAGAGAGAGAGAGAGAGAGAGGGAGGAAGCTTCGAGCCCTAGCAATGGCGGGGTGGTACGAGGAGGCGGTGGGGCTGCTGCGGCGGCCGGCGGTGGCGGAGATGGCGGTGGACGTGCTGCTGTGCGCGGTGCCGATCTGGGCGGCCGTCATGATCGGGCTCGTCATCGGCTGGGCGTGGCGGCCGCGATGGACGGGGCTGCTCTACCTGGGGTTCCGAAGCCGCCTCCGCCTCCTCTACGTTCCCCCGGGCCTCGGCGCGCGCCGCCTCTGGCTCGCCTGCACCGCGCTCTCCGCCTTCTCCGTCGCGCCGCGGCTCCTCTCCACCGCCTTCGGCAGCCGCGGCAAGCACCAGCGCAAGGACGCCGCCTTGGCCGACGACGACGACGCCGCCGACGCCTCCGGGGACGCCGGCGATTGCGTCGATGGCAGGTGGGATCCTCTTGAGTTGGATTATCTATTATCGCTGTGGGTTAGCGTGGTAGGATGAGGTGGGAATGCGCAGCGTTTGCCTTGTTAGCTGCGTCCGTTGGGAACTAGGTGTGCGCCATCTCGAAATTGAATTTATTACTGATAATCGAAATCAATGTGCTCACAACTCAATTCTGTGGTGACTAATGCTGATGGCAGGTTAGGAGCGCCGTAGCTTTTGGTGAAATTGCATAATTTTAACTGAACTGATGATGATGCCATATGTACTGACAGAGCTATAGAGGCTGGATTAATGAAAATCCATTATCTAAAAAAACATGTACTGACAGAGCGAATTTATGCTTATGGCATGCTTGAATTTCAAATTATCGATGTTATGTTAAAATTAAGGTGCTTGATGTCCGTAGTATTTATGCTCCGACAGATAACATTAAGTGAAAGTTGTGCGTATCAAGGGTTTCAATGTGTCATATTAAAATCATATAGTGGAAGGATTAGTACAAGAAAATTCGTTTGCTATTTGTTAAGTACAACTGTTAATAAGATGATCCATTGTACTTTACCCTTGAATTTGACCAATACTGTTATTGCCAAATTGTGGAGTTGAGTAACAGACTTATTCTTCTTTCTTTAGCAACTGAATTTGATGTGATTGAGTTCATTGGGTCAAGTGGGTGATCAATGGTCGATGTACTGACATAAAATGCATCAAGCCATCATCAACATAAATGACTGGGAGCTTCTGACTGAAATTTCAAATGCTGATTAGGACTTGAGAATTTTAGACTTGTTGGACATAATTGAACTTTTACATGATTGCCTGTTATATATTGACCTAGTTGATATGTTTTTTCATCGGGTGACCCATTTGTTATGTTACAGTAGTTAATAACTAATGCAAACAAAAAGTTATTTCAAAGCATGATTGCATCTATTTAAACTGACTTCAATATAGGTTTATGCAACAAACTGTTTGCTAAAATCCTTTTCTTCTGTCCATATTAGAACATTTTTTGAGGGCGGCCATCATGTTGTCACTGAGAAGGACCTAGAACACCTCGTACAACTTCTTGATAACAAGGAGAGTGGGGATACAACATGGCAGCATTTGATGGAACGTACCACTTCCAACATGACTTACAAGGCCTGGCGCCGTGAGCCTGAGGTATGTTTTCCAATGGGATTGTAGGAAAGAAACAGATGTCAAAGTATATGTATAGCGTGATTGCGTAAATGATTAGAGGGCCCTGTATTAGAAATAAGTTAAATACTAGCATCTGAATTGAAAGAAAAACTCTGAAAGTTGAATCAACTGTACCAAGATCAGAATTTATGTTTTTAAAATCCTGTGATGACCTTGGCTTGCCGTGGTATAATATTAATTCATTTCCTTGCTTTGCACCTTTGGTTCATTTCCTGTCTTTTCAATGAATCTACGTTTGATGTGACCAAATCAATAGCATATAGGTTATAGTGCAACATCTAATGGACTGATCTTCCTTTGCTTGTAGGTGGGACCTATCATGTACTGTAGTCGCACTATTTTTGAGGATGCTACTCCTGAGCTTGTTAGAGATTTCTTCTGGGATGATGAATTTCGTCTGAAGTGGGATCCCATGCTTGCATATTTCAAAATTTTGGAGGAGTTCCCCCAAAATGGAACTATGATTATTCACTGGATAAAAAAGGTATGACAACTTGACCTGCATATCTCTTGACAAGCATATCCCCCAAATTACATATTGAATCATGTAATTTCAACATGTTGCTTGTTTTGTAGTTCCCTTTCTTTTGCAGTGACCGTGAATACATTTTTGGGCGGCGGATATGGGAATCTGGGAAAACTTACTATTGTGTTACAAAGGTATTTCTACCACAAGGTTCCAGTATTACTATTTTCACAAGACATTTTTATGATATGCTAACCTGGCTTTGGCTGATGTTCTCATATGGATATCTAACTTAAGTGCTTAACTACTGTAATTGTATGAGCACCTATTGCAAGATACTACCTCTGTTCACGAATGCTTAACCAATGTTCTGTTGCGAAGGCTATTTATATGTGACCAAATTAACCCTAGTAAGTAAACTACTTACTATTTTCTGCCAAAAGTGGAAAGGGGAATAAGGACAAAACTGGAAATTCTACTTGGGAACATGAAGTGACAAATATTTATTCAGAAGAAAATGTGGTGAAAAGTGATAAATATTCATGAATAGAGATAGTATCTGATTTTTGAGGATTCTAGGTAGCGGTCTGGGTGCTTCTCTTGACGCAGAGGCTGGATATTTTCCAATTATCTAAAAGGATGAGGATTCTAGGTCTAGAAGGTAATTAGATTTATTAGTGACTACAAGGCAGATCTTTTAGTGAACAAAAGATCTGGTATACTAAAACATTGTTTGTTGCGTAGCAATCTTGCCTGGCTTTCTGCAAATTGCAATTCTGACATCGATACGATTGTACTTACTTTTTTTGAGAGTGCTAGATCAAACATACATCCATTGTATTTTAAGGTGTTGAAGGTGTAGTTGATGTGAATGGAGATCGAAGTCAATAGTGTCTGGCTTCTAGAGGATACTTTTGCATAGCTCATGCATGTAGCTCTTCTTACATTTGGTTCAAATTTCAAACCTGGATCTCAGCCCAGAGAATCAGACGCCATGGCCTAGCATTCTTGCATAATCAACATTAGAAATACATGTATTTGAAGATTGTTGGCAATGCACTATGTAGAAAATTTGACTACTATCTATTATAGCGCATATGCTTGTTGAGAGACTTGTGAGCACTGAAACACTTCCATTTGCAGGGAGTTCCTTATCCAGCTTTGCCTAAGAAGGAAAAACCAAGGCGTGTGGAACTGTATTTCTCAAGTTGGCGTATTAGAGCAGGTAACTTTTGTTCCTACCACTATTCTTACTTCACCTGAATTAGTTCCTTTCATCACAAGTTTTGGTCAAGAAGGAACACAAATGTTTATACCTTGACATTCTGTTCCCTTTTCTGTTTGGGTAACCACAGTTCAATCACCGAAACAAGATGGACAGCAATCCGCATGTGAAGTAACGCTGGTCCACTACGAGGACATGGGCATCCCTAAAGATGTCGCCAAGGTGGGTGTCCGGCATGGCATGTGGGGTGCTGTAAAGAAGTTCCAGTCCGGATTTAGAGCATACCAGCAAATGAGAGACACAGAGAACACCCTCTCTCGCAGTGCCATCATGGCTCGAGTAACCACCAAGACATCTATTGCTAGTTCCAGTTGCCCCCTGGATCAAGAGCCCTCCAATGCAGCGAAAACCATCGATGAGAGTGAGAATTCCAGAGCGGTTCAACCAGGGTTCGACTGGAAATGGGTGGTGTTCGGTGGCGCAGTGGCTGCCGTCTGCGTGCTCAACACTGGGCTTGTTGGGAAGGCTCTCCTCATCGGAGCTGCATCAAGAAGGCAGGCGAAGAAGTGATGACTGAGTACTGATGATGAGTGATCAGCACCCTACCTGTCAGCTTCTGCAAGATGGCGTTGAGCTCTCTTGCGCTTCAGACTGTGCATGTTGCAAGTAGAGAAGAGGTAAAGCGAAAAAAAAAAGGACATAGATGCGGTGCTACTACAGGAGGCAGATAATTAGCACGCTTAATTTTGGATCTCGTATTTATGCAGTATCGCTGTCGCACATGTGTATCGTCACCATAACGTAACAACAGATCGTCGTCTCTGGCTAATGTACCTGAATTGAAGATATGTCTAATGGGGGATTAATTATTAAAAGGTTTTGCTAATGTGCCTGAACTGTTGCAGTTGATAATAAAATTCTCCGCCGTAATTCTCGACTATTGTTCATTTTGTTATAATAACGTGAATGCTGCCACCTTGTGGCCCTTTCCTTTGTTGAGCCAGAACGATGTTGTTGGACCGGGTTCTGGGTCTTGCCGTTTTGACCTCCTGTTATTTGGTGGGCTGGGCTGCAATTTCTACTACCGGCAGGTATCTGGTTATCTACTTGTCAGAGCCGTCTGTCAATGTGTATGTGAAAAACGTTTTGATTTTTTTTTCTAAGTTGAACTTTTTAAATTTTGATTAAATTTGTAGAACAAATATAGTAATATTCTTATACAAAACGATTATGTAGTAGATGTTACTAATATTTTTATAAACTAAAGAAAAAGTTAAAACATCTTATAATATAAAATGGAGATAGAATTATAGATTATCAGAGGTTTTTTGCAATTTTGCACCATCTTCGGCATCTGGGTAACACCCATAGAAAGAGAGAGAAAGAAAAACTGAATATGAGCATTCAGTTTTCTTTTCTTGATAAGAGATTAGGCTCATACAGGCCGGACAAACCCCTCCATATTCTCCCCAAAACCATGCATATGCATTCATGTGTCTACAGGTGGTGTACATGTGTCTGATGATGTAACTAATGGCGAAAGAAAAAAAATCACATTATCCGGCTGCCCACATATCCAATGTCTCAACCATTACTATCTTTGAATGGGAACGAAGTTTCAATTATCACTGTATTCTTTTTTAATGGAAACAAAGACCAAGAATTTCCTGATTGCAGCTCCTGGATTCTACGCCCAGTGCAGACCAACACCTTATCAATTTGTCATATCGCCTTCAAACTTTTTTTTCAAAGCTTCCAAGCTGCTCCACTTTTCGTAAGCGCCGCCACCACAGCATCCACTAAGCTTAAGCACCGTCATTAGAGCAGTACAATAGCTTAAACATATTTTAAAGAGATAAATGAAGAGAGAAGAGCAGCGGACTATAGATCTGTAGCCAGCTGCAACACGGACTTAAAGACGTAATGTCTGTATGATATGTGGAACCAGATATTAATAGTATAGTAGAAAGCAACTATTATATAAATTGGCTATTATATTAGCTATAGATGATTTGTAGCTAGTAGTTGGCTATACTATTAAACTTGCTCGTAGCATAGCCTAATCACCGTCTCCTTCATCTCTAATCACGCACATGCAACTCACTAGCTCTGAACAAGTACAATAGCAGACTATAAACGAGCTGTAATCATATTTTAAAAAGATAAAAGATAAGAGAGGAGCAGTACTACAGCACGGACTTAAAGACGCAATATGTGTATGACAGGTGGGACTAGAAATTAATAGTGCAATATAAGTTTATAGATAACTATTATATAAACTAGCTATTAAATTAACTATAGATGATTTGGAGCTAGTAGTTGGCTATACCATTAAATTTGTTCTTACCCAGGAATAATAGTACTTAAAAAAACGCAGCAACAGAGAGAGGTGTCTCCTCTCTCTCTCTACCTCCATCTCCTCGAGATCGACATGCCACGCTCACGAGTTCTTCTTGAGTGGATCAATGGAGATGTGTTGCTGCTGAGCTGAGCAGAGTGTGTGTAGAATGATGGGAGCCCTGCAGCAGCAGAGCAATGGCCATGGCCATGGCGTCCTCCTCCTCGCTGAGGCTGGCTATGCCGAGGTTGATCCCACTGGAAGATATGGCAGAGTAATCATCTACTAATCCCATCTCATCGTCTTCTTCCTCCAGCTTCTTCTTACCTTGTTTCTTAATGCTTCCTCTCTCTCTCTCTGCAGTTCAATGAGATTCTTGGCAAGGGATCGTCAAAGATTGTGTAAGTTCATCAGATGATCCAATTTATTCTCCTAAATTAGTTTAATCCTCTGTTTGATTGTGTTTCTTGATTAGAATTTGAGTGTTTGATTGATTTTGGAATGATTTTTCGGGTGCAGGTATAGGGGGTTCGATGAGTGGAGGGGAGTGGAGGTGGCGTGGAACCAGGTGCGGCTGCGCGACGTCGTGCGGGGCGGCGGCGAGCTGGAGCGGTTCTACGGCGAGGTCCACCTCCTCGCCGCGCTCCGCCACCGCGGCATCGTGCGCCTCCACGCCTACTGGGTGGACGCGCCGCGCCGCGCCCTCAACTTCGTCACCGAGCTCTTCGTCTCCGGCACGCTCCGCCAGTACAGGGAGAGGCACCGGCGGGTGAGCGCGGCGGCGGTGCGGCGCTGGTGCGCGCAGATCCTCGACGGCCTCGCCTACCTCCACGCCCACTCGCCGCCCATCATCCATCGCGACCTCAAGTGCGACAACATCTTCGTCAACGGCAACCAGGGCGAGGTCAAGATCGGCGACCTCGGCCTCGCCGCGTTCCGCCGCGGCGGCGGCCACGCCCGCTGCGTCGGCACGCCGGAGTTCATGGCTCCCGAGGTGTACGACGAGTCCTACGACGAGCTCGCCGACGTCTACTCCTTCGGCATGTGCGTCCTCGAGATGGTCACCCTCGATTACCCCTACAGCGAGTGCTCCAATCCCATCCAAATCTACAAGCGAGTCATCTCCGTATGATCTGATCACCACAGAATTTCTCGTGAATTCTTGGACACGATTTGATCAAGAGAATGCGTGTTTCTGATCAGGGGATCAAGCCCGCGGCGTTGTACAGGGTGAGCGACCCGGTGGTGAGGCAATTCATCGAACGGTGCCTCGCCCCGGCGGCGCGGCGGCCGGCGGCGAGGGAGCTGCTCGACGACCCGTTCCTGCTGCCGCTTGAGGATGATGGCTTCTTCTCCGGCGACGGCGGCGATGGACATGGCGGTTTTGGCGTTGGCTACTACAATCTGATGTACAACTACCTGCACCAGCCTGCTTGCATCGACGACCACCATGCCTGCAGCAATGGCGGCTTGTCGCCGTCGAATAGCGTCGGCGACAACGACGTGGACGCGGCCGTGCAGCGGGGGGACGACGACGGTGACAACTGGCTCCGCGACATCCACATGCTGTTCGACGAGGACGACGACGACGCCGCCGCCGCCGACGCCAACGAGCGTGTCGGTGGCGTGGACATCACCATCAAGGGGAGGAGGACGGACGACGGCGGCGTCTACCTCGGCCTGCGCATCGCCGACAAGAACGGCACAGGTACGTGATCGTTGCATTTTTGAACTGGCGGGTGTTCAAATTTGATTTGATTTATAATACAAAATGATGTCAAATGTGGGGGCGAATTTCGTCTGAATTCGAGCTGAATTGTGGCAGGGCGTGGCCGGATAATCTGCTTCCGGTTCGACACCGAGGCCGACACGGCGATGACCGTGGCGGCGGAGATGGTCGCCGAGCTGGACATCACCGACCACGAGGTGACTCGCATCGCCCAGCTGATCGACGGCAAGGTCGCCGCGCTGGTGCCGGGCTGGAGGCCGGGTCCAGCGACGGACGACGACGACGACGACGATCTCGTCGGCGGCGGCGATGATCCGGACGCGCCGGGCGGCGCCGCCGCCGCCTGCTGCAAGAACTGCCGGCCGGCGGCGTCGTCGTCGTCGTCCTGCGGCTCGCTCGTCGACTTCATGTCATCGGCGGCGGCGGCGGAGCGCCATGGCTGCAGGCGGTGCGCCGAGCTGCACGGCCGGTTTGAGGAGATCACGTTCCAAGCCGACGACGACGAAGAGGAGCAGCATTTGCAGGGGAGCTCCTCTGACACCGGAGGCAGCAACCATGAGCAGCACGCCATGGGCAAGGACAAGGAGGTCATGAACATCAATGGCATTGCACAAGATGGCACAGTACAAGGTTCAGAACAGCCATGATCAGTAATTCAGTATGATGATGATGAACATCCGAAGATCGAGCAATTCGACGCTGATAGGCGATACGGATCGGCGATGTTTACAACCATTGATGGGTTCTTGGATTTGAGCAATGGCGCGAGTCGGTGCCGCCACCATGATCATGACCATGGTAGCTCAAAGGATTCATGATCATTGTGAGGGGGAATTGCTCATTGTGAGGGGGAATTGCTGACAGCAATCTCGATCAGCCGCTGCTCACTTTCAGAGGTTACCTTGCCGACACATTGCAAGAGCAACAAAGTCTGTACTGTTGAACAATGCTACTGACGTTCGACATGCCCTTCTGACAAAGTAAATCTACAGTTTCAAGATTGGATTTGCTCGTCTTTTTTTCAGAGATTTAGCATATATTGTAGGGAAGAAACTGAAAGATGTAGTATAACGTTTTGTGACTGTGCTATGAATCTGAAGAAGATAGGGTACAGTTTAGGTAGGCCAAGTGCAATTACTTCCAATCTTCATTGGCTTCAGTTAGTTACATGCATGGCTGTATCTAGCATTCTCTGACCATAAATCAGTAGTGCAAGAAAGTGCAATCAGGAAAGATGCATATGTTTTTCATTCATATTTGGTACGTCTCTTATTCAAAGAAGAAATATTAGGGTGGCATTCTTATCCAAGGGGTACAGCAAAGCAAAGTGTGTCATTCAGTAGTAACATAAGGCAAAGTTTCCTGAGCTGACATCTGAAAGATAACAAGTTGGTGATCAGTGTTTAATTCTTTGTGTTTGATTAGGCAGGAAAAAAAGGCATTGAGACTATAGTGGTGTCCAAAGCTACAAAACACAAGTCCAAGTTTGGAGTTGTGAGTCTGTCTCTGATAAGGACATCCATGTCAAGCTCTGGTACACAATAGATCTAACACATGAACATGCAAACTTGCACATTGCCAGCTATTGCAGGGAGGCATCCATTGCTGCTTTCATAACATTTTCAATTGGGAGCTCCATGATGCACAAAGGGATATACTAATTTATTTATCCTTTTGTTTTAATGTGGGCAACTTTGATCAAGTATTGATCAACCTAGGAATTATTCTTTGAGGAAGCGAAGATTATTATTGCATCGTTTGTTTTTTAATCGTCCCTGCAAATTAGTTCAAAATGTTTAATTTACTTGTTTTATGTGCTAGATTCTGATAAATGATTGAAATGGCCCATACCATGAGATTTGCCAGCTTACCATCATTCATGGGGCATCTAGAAGTAGAGGAGAAAGGGGTCTCCATCCAAGGATACTTTATGGTGACAAGTCGGTGATCTTGTATGGTCCAATGCAATGCATGAACACACACGGATACAGCAATTTGCATGCATTATTTGCACCAAAATAAGTTATAAAATTTATATATATAATATATGTACACGTATTGCTCACCTGTCCTCTCAAGTCCCCATCTGGTCAATATCCTCTCTCTCATTCCTTAGATGTTGACATATGTCTTATCATGTGTTATACAAATAATTCTACTTTAATCATGTAAACTATGTATACCATGTAAGTAATGCAATATTTGCAATTTGCACAAGTCTGAATGCACCTCTAACACAGCTACATCAGAGACCAATAATTATGGTTTCATTAAAGGTTTTAATTTGAGAAAAGAAAAGAATTGAAAATGACTTAGTGAGAGTTACAGAGGTCCACTGATCTGAATGATTAGGCAATTAAGAGCAACTTTGTGCAATGGTTGGCTTGTATAGTTTTCAGATAAGCATCAAAGCTGAACCTACTACCATGGGTGGTAGGATTGGAAAGGCATATGCATGCTTTCCATTCTGACTGAAATAATTGAATTTTTCTCACAATAATCATGGCCCTGTAGCAAAGAGAACACTGGTTTGGGGGAATAGGACGCAGTGAGGTTCTCTGTATGGCAGGTTGGCATCTTGGAGGCATTACATTGCAGAAATGCAAGTTTCGGTGCCTAATTTCACACTTTTTGTTGGTCTGGACTCTTCTGCATATGTTCAATGATTGTGTAGCTAAACAACTACAGCAACTGCATGTTCTGGATGATCTCTTTTTTTTAGTACAAAAGTAGGGATTTTGGTGTTGGATTTCTCATAAGAATTCGTCAATCCCTTCGAAAAGCAGATTGCTAGGGTTGGTGTTATGACCAATTCATGTACAGAAGAATGCTGTGTTAGCATTTGTACTGTAAATACAAGTTAAATTTGACCATGATTATTGTTTACAGTATAGGTTTGTACATATAAAAACGATGCAACCAAGTAGTATGTCATAACAAAAGCAGACGTAATATTATTCTTGTGTAACTTCTTTTGGGATTTATAAAAAACAGTTACGTTCAAAGTTGTCAAGTTAATTTCTTTTTTAACGTAAGATAGTATTACATGGTCTAGTGCAAAGATCATTATGCCCTTGCTTAGAAACTATCTCAGTTTTAGGTTTGTTCTCAGTCAAGACAAACTTTAATACATTTGATCAAATTTATATTTAAAAAATACTGCAGCATCTACAACACAAAATTAGTTCCATTAAATAATTTGGTATTGTGGATGATGTCACATTTTTTATAAACTTAATCAGACTTTAAAAAGAAGTTTTAAGTTAGGATAAATCTAAAACAGACCAGCACTTGTAAGGAGCCCAGTTCAAGTAAAAAATAAAATGAAGTGGAAAGGGAATAAGGTGAGAATAATCTGACTTCGTGCACGTGCATTGGACGACGGAAAGGCATCTACTATTCTAACCTAAAAGTAAAACCACGAACATTGAACAAGGAAAATCTCACCATGCCTATTGCCTAGTAGTAACATCTTCCTTGAGATCTTATTGATTAAATTAATTATTTCCTCGACAAGAACTCTTTCTTCTTGTTGGGTGCGCTATGCAGGCTGCAATAAATATTACTGCACCGGCTTTGACAATTTTTTATGTTATAATATCATTGTTTATTTGTTTAGCCATTTGGTGACTGACAAACTGAAGCTTCGGTGCTCAAGTTGTCTGTGGTTATAAAATTTGTTGATTTGATTTGACAAGACTTTCTTAGGTGAACTTGGTAGGAGTAGTAGAATGCGTAAAGTGGGCAATTTGTTTTTCCAGATTATTTGTCTGTACATACATAGAAATATTTGCTATGTGAAGGTTAAGAGTTATTTATATTTTATTTATGTTTATATGAGATCTTGCTGGTAATGCATATGCTTTGCTGGCAAAAACAACAAATAGACGTCAGATTGATGTGAATTCATGTACCAATCTTCTTGCTTTCTCTCACTTTTGGTCCTTTGATCCTTCCTAGTTTCATACCTATTTCTCTCAAAATGAATATTATGGTTGCAACTGCTTCACTTAAAAAATGTCTTAATAATCTTGTTTGGTGTTGCTTTCTCTAATGGATCACTTTCCTCTACCAACAATGATCTGATCTCTGCAGACTGGAGTGACATTTAAGAGAAATCCCAGTGGTACATGTCACAAAAGCACATGATACCAAATGAACTGGGGTCAGCTGTTGTCATATTGCTACAAAATTTGGCACAGCCTAAGCAGGGAGAGGGTTTTTGATAGGCACTTCAAGATGTTCAGAGAAATTTAGATAGCTTACAGAGTTAGCTAAAACTGAGTAGGCCGTCGAAGTGGACCATTTCACTTGCCTAGATGAGTCAAGATTCTGCTGACGAGTGCCTCTTTCTTTCCAGAAACTGGGAGGCCATGTGCACTCAGGTAAGATTTCAAGTCCACCACCGTCATGTCCTTCAGCTGCAAATTACGAATTCAGAAATTACGAAACGATTAGGGTTACGGTTGATTTGGATTTCCAGAGCAGAACAGCTGAACAGGACAGATCACTAGGCAGAAATTCTAAAGCAGGCAAAGATCGATGTTTCAAGTATGAGTTGCTAATTGTTACTAGCATAGAGCTCCTGGCTGTATTGTTCCCTTGAGATTACAGCCTTCAACATTTTATTTATGTGCCTCAAAACTTTTTGGGCTGTGGTGCATACATAAGCAAGGTCCGTAATACATTGGCATATCAAACTGCAAGCTAGCATTTTGAATTACTGGTGGATAGAACCATAGAGGGGTAAACTACTGGAAGACAATTTCTTATCAGATTAATTGGAGCATTAAGAAGATATTTCATAGTAAAATTCAGTGCCTAGAGAACACTTTGTTGTCCCATCGGTAAGAGCACCTGCATGCTTACCTTTCCAGTATCCGCAAGTTCTGCCCAATTATGTGCTGCACTTTTCTCTGCAGCTGCATCAGTAAGTGCTTTCCTCTTCTTTGAAGCCCCAGCCTTCGCTGCTGCTGCCTCGGCTTCCTCTTGATCATAATTTTCACCATAGACTGAAGCCTTAAATTCCTCGACAGCTTTAACTACTACTGGCCTGAGATAAGAGTGGTAGGAAACAACCCACATAAGCAAGAGGTGACTGTTGTACGTTGTTGTTATGCAAAAAAGTAAAACTGAATTGAATATGTAGTAGACTGCACTTTCATCTTCAGTGTCTGAAATAACATGAACATGCTTGACTCTATAGTTATTCAATAATTTCCATTCGAGAGGAACAGATAAGGGTTTGGAGATTTCAGCAGACTCCAATAGACAAATAAAAACAAGTACCTAGCCAAGCCCTCTTCATCAGGAAGGGTTTCATCCTTGACATCTGGCATCTCATCTTCACCTAAAGCTAAGGCCTCCAAGATCCCATAGTGTCTTTGCAATGCTGTTTCATGGTGGAAAATAGAAAACATGAACAATGATCAGAATAGTTCAGTCGTACTGCATATTGGAGTGTTCATAATACTTCTTTAATGCCTATTGACAGGACCCAATGAGCTCTACGGATTATAGCAGCAATTGCTCACAGATGGTATCAGAATTTATGTATGAAGGATAGGTTCACAAATACATGAACTCAGGGGCTGTTTGGTTTGGTGCCACACATTGCCACACCACATGTTAGGCATGCCACAGATTGTTAGCTTAGCGTTTGGTTGCTTGTTTCAGTTGTGGCAAGCCACACTTTCTTATTTCATGGGCCTACATGTCATATACTCATTTTCTAGCCAAACATTGCCACACTTGTGGCCAACAAATTGTTGGCCACACTTTGTTTGCCATGCCACACCTATGGCAAACTGAGTTATGGCAATGTTAGGCAACAACCAAACAGACCCTCAATGTAGTACTGTCGGTAATGATGTGAATAAGAGGTTCAAATAAATGCAGTGATTACCTGGGTTAGAAAATTGGCATACTGAGAAGTTCTTCAAATCAATACGTCTCAATAGATTTGAAGCTTTCTTAATTTGTTCATCTGTGGCACGAGGTGCATCATCAGAAGTCAGATGAACCTGCACGCCAAGGTGAAATTATTAGCTTACTGAAAAGATGAAATATGGATGCGGTGCCAATCATTACCTCCTCAGGATATCTAACATCATCCGAGTATGGAAGATAGATCATGTGTATTCCAGGTGGTTCAATTTGACCACCAGCAGAAGTAACCTCTTCCTGTTATTTTTCTCCAGAGTCAATTTCAAAAAGTATATAAGATATAGCTATGTAATAAGAATCCCTGACAAACAAAATTCAGACAGAATACAAAACGAAAATATGTGGCCGCATGTGCGTCTCTATGTTATGCATTTCACAAAACACTTTACCAGTTTTCCCAATTCCCACCCATGTTAATATATAGGTGGCTGCTGGGAATATGTGGAAAGAAGCAAGGCTCAGTCTAGTTCTTTTTTTGTAGCCAACAGGTGTTTGTACCACAATCAATCTCGAAAAGTTCCAAATAGCATAAGAACTTTCTTTTGCAACGTCACAGTAGGATTAACCCATTAGTTAACAATTGATATATATGTTTTAACTAGGTCACTGATATTGTACTTGTAAACTAGAATTCTGAATGCAGCAAATGTCGTAAAGCAAAATATAGACATGGAGAGAATCCCTCACTTGTGCAATAAGGGCTACAAGTTGTGGGCGAGTTGGATTCCCGTAAAATGCAAGTGCAAACCTGAAATGGTACAATTCATAATTGTAAGTTTTCAAATGCACCATGTAACCATATAAAATGACCACATGAAATATCATATGCATGGTTAGTATAAGCATGTACTAGGCTACAGAGGACCTTTGCCTATGCATGACTTGCATTAGGACGGAATACATATTCCCAGTCACTTAGTGTCACAAATACATGACTTGCATTAGGACGGAAAGCCTAAGTGACATCACTGGAAACTTACAGTTCAGAAAAAGGTGCCAAATAAACAAACCATTTGAGCCTATGACTTAAAGAAATATATTCCCTGATGTCAACAACAGTATAGCTTTACAAATCATAAAATAACACCTGTTTTCTTCCTTTTTCTCATTTTCTTAAAAACTCAGTGAATTGCAATGACAAGATTGGCAAAAAATCCCAAAACATTTTCTATTGTCATTTAACAATTCAAACAACTCTGTGCCGCTTTGTACATTATCTACCCTATAGTTCAACAAATACTTTTACTCATTCTTTCATTCTTTCATTCATCATGGAACGGTCCAGATTATCTCGCTGAGATCTGACGCATCAGAATCAACAACTTAGCAGGCGGGGTCACCAGCGGAAAATCGCACGCACGGGATCACCGCTCGGTTTCCTTTCCCTTTTCTTTCGCACACCGCCCTTCGCCCTCCGCCAAATCGCCAGCCGCCGCCCTCACGGCCTCGCCCTCGCACGTCGCACCCCCATCCCGCGCCTCCCTCCGCAAAATCGCCGTCGCACAGCCCTCCCCGCCGACGATTCGCTCCGCCGCCAGAACCCAGCACAACCCCTCTCCGGCTCTCCGCCACCCTCTCTCCATCTCCCAGATCCGCTCTCTACATCCCCACCGCGCTCCCTCCCTCCCTCCCTGCGCAAAAATCACGCCGAACTTCGCAAATCACGTCGCCGTCACCACCGCTCGCATCGCTGATCTAGGCCGTGGCTGACTGGAGCTGCCGCTAATATATCTGCCTCCTGGGGATTCGGTGTGCCACCTCGCCCTCGAGCCCTTCCACACACCGGCGCCCCCTCAACACTAGCGCCGTCGTTGCCCTTGCGCCAGCAGAGGCGGTGGCCGGTTATAGGACCAAGGACGCGACAACGGCAGATGTAGGAGGGATTTTCTTCGGTCAGGCGGGCGGTAGTAAGCGGCGAGGCAAGGATGCGGAGGCCGAATGGGAGGCGTACAGCGGTGACACGATCTAGGCAACAAGGTAAGCTCTCCTCGGCCGCGTCCACGCCCCGCCGGGCGCCGGTCGCAATCCACCGTGACCACGTTGCTCCCAGTGTCCTCTCTCTCCCGCATCATCTCCATTTAATCTTACATGGTAAGCATATAAGAACCATATTATTCACCATTATCATCTTGTCCATCATACATGATACTCTGCTTCATGCAGGATGCGGAGAGAGTGGTGGAAGAGGTCAGGAGGTAGTCTTCTCTGCAACAAGATCTGAAGAAGTGCGGGCAAGGAGCGTGGTCCCCGGCGAATCCAAGTCCGTTGAGGCCTTAAGCAGTAACGAAATCCATCTATTTCTAGAACTTCATCTATTATTTCTATATTGCAGTGTGCAAGGCAATGTTGTTTGTGTATGCACGTAACAAGAGTGAAACTAAGGTTGGATACAAAGTGTGGAACCTCTTTCGTTCTAAGCTGGCATCCGCTGAAGGAAATTGTGGCCTCCTTTTTTCTGATTCTTTTTTTATTTTGTGTTCTTTTTTTCATGTAGGGGAGCAGCTCTGGTGCGACCGTGAAGTTGGCAGCACAGACGCATTTCATTGAGCACATCTTTAGCGTTCTAGATTTCTTGAGTGTTCTATATTGTGGCCAGACCAACAAGGTATCCATCTGGCATACAGTTTTCTCATTTGGGTTAAGTGATTGGACTGGTTTATTGTATCTTGCGATTTTTTGTGTTAAAAAATATTATTCAGTTTTCTTGCTAAAAGCAATCTATCTCTTCTGTCATCCAGATGGGAGGCCTCCTGTAATTACTTATGGCATCTTATGTTAGTAGGCATAATTATGGAAGAACTGGATTAGCATGGATAATTAATGGACTACATTAATTGGCGATGGTTTTGGTTTAGTTGACATTTTCCATTTTAAGTATAAGTGGAATGCATCATTAGGGCTTCTATGGACACTTGAGTACCTTTGCATAAACTAGCTAAAAAAGCCTGTGCTTTGCAAGTTGCTGCTATGGTCCATCCTTAGTGTTTATTCACTCAAATCTTACAGATGCACAAGAGTCCAACTTTTCAGTTATTTATGTTTCTGTTCTGTCTCGATGGATAAAACTTACAATTTTAACAAATATGTTCTTGGTTATCTGTACTTGACAGAAATAATAACTACTACTCTTTTCACTTTGATAGCTCTTTTCTGCTTCTAAAAGGTGGGTTTTCCATGAGGAGATCACTATTAGAAGCTAATTCAGAGGATTTCAGAGCAGATTTTGGATGCCGGAGGATGGCGAGAGTGACACATTTCAGTAATCCCCTAAGGTTGCTGAATTTTGTTGGTAGCTTTATCTTTTCCTGTGTAATCTCCCACCAACGCTGAGAGCTCTACTCTATGTAGTTCCTCCTTCCAATGTATAACGTGAGTTGAATGGGTTGGATTTAAGTATAAGTGGAATAAATTGTTAGGGCTTATATGGACACTTGAATGCTAATCTGAATATTAGAACATGACAGTGCCTTGGCTTAACTATTTGTATGGTTAAATATGAAACCACTAAGTAATTTTGCTTTGTTGAGTTCATTTAGAAGGTTCGGAGGGCGGCCTGTATCACTATTCACTCGAGCACATCCTTTTCAAATGATATCTTAGGATTTGCGGGAGTATTACTATTTGATGTTTCTGGCTCAAACTATATGCAAACTTTATTTAATTGATTCTAAAGTTAGATTTCTGTTTTTGTGGCATTTCATAAGCTAGCCAACATATATTTTTTCAGCTATTTTGTCCTTTGGCATATCAAGGAATTCTATCTATATTATATGGTTCTTCGATTGCCTATTCTTTTTAAAGGAAACTAATGTGTTATGTGTTTATTTTGAGTTATCTACATCTAAAGGAGACTGATGTGTTATGTGTGAAAATTGTTTGATGTACGTAAAGCTCAGATCATATAATTTATTTTTATTTTTTGGCTAACATGACGTTTTGAAAATTATTAAAGACAAATAAAATTGGACCGTAGCATTTAGCACGGGCATATTACTAGTGAGCTGTAATTTGAGATAACTATCGCATAGAGTGATATTTCAACAAAACTAACATCCCCTTTCAATTGCATCCCCTCACTAATTATCCCAAAAAATGAGCAGTAATGTTAATTAATTTAATCCACAGTACATTTTATGACTTGACATACATTATGTCCATTTATAACTATGTCAGTTTCTAAACCCTTTCAAAATTAAAGAAATTATGGCAGAAATATAATAAGTCGACTTAACCTTCCAAGACGCCGCATTGAGCTATGTAAAGCAACGAAAACACGAGTGCTTCCAAATATTTGCTGCATCAAACAAAAGGAGGTAAACCTAACATGCACCCTAGATTTAAGTAAAGACTGAGAAAGAAATAAGCATACACCACAATACAATCCTAAATATGTTCAGACAGATTTAGTTTAGTTTGGAAGTAGCATGCAGCAGGGATGTGTATCGAACACAAATAGATCTTTTATTATGAAAAATAATATCATCAAATAAAATGATTAAGGTTTTCAACTATTATATTATTGCTTCAAGCTAGAGAAGTACAATAATCTAGGGAACAAACGAACAAGATAACAAAATATTGTCAAGACTACGCAGCTCTCCTGCGTGTTTGACAAAAAAAATTAAGATGAAGGAGATAATTGTACTAGTATAACTTCAAACTGTAACTCAAACGGTAGATTTGAAGTTTGTGTATTAAATTATAGTGATTTAAAATTTTAAATGGGAACAAGATGATTTATCCAAATGTTTATCAACGTAATCACAGATCCAGATCCATGGATTTGTGGAGCTCGGAATACCCAGCTCCAAGAAATCTTGGATCCGGAGCTGTGCCAAGAGGGCCTCAAGATTGAAGTTAAGAAGTACATGAAGTAATGTTATTACCTCATCACTGGGGTAAATAAATGTTGACGGTCTTAAGTTGTGATAATCTTTAAGGTAGTCCAGTGGCTTGAATCCTAAAAGGCGTAGATGATGACTTGAAACCCTCTTCACATCAGACAATTCACGAGTAGAGAATTTAACAATTTTGCTGTGCAAAAAAGTGCATGAATATATGATAAAGTAGTTTTGGATTACAAATATAAGCATCAAACTGAAACGGAAAAGGAACAACATGACGGAATGACGAGACAATGATCGTGCCATGACTCATAACTGTAGACTTCTGCGCTTGATGAAGCAATCAAGAAGCAGATCACAGAACCCAACCCAGAAAATTATACAAAAATAACACCGCTTTGGTTCACCAGTCTCATGTGTGTACTTACTCATTGTACACCTGGAAGCGCTTTTGTGGATCCTGAATAAGGGCCCCAGTGTCATTGCATATGAAAGACCTTTCAGCCTACACATACATTCTTGTTAAAGTACCGCATAAAACTTGATATTTTATAACTCCGAATCTCCCCCCCCCCCCAAAAAAAAAAAGTAACACAAAATTGATCTCTTTGTCATGAAGCATGAATCACCTTCAATGGCAGGTTGCTGATAGAATCAAGCCATGTAATTGCCCCTACAAAAAGGATGTCACAGTAACAAGCCTATACATACATTCTCACAGCAACATTATGCAAAGAGATAAAGAAGTAAATATCGCCAGTTGTTAGAGCATACCTGGAGTAGTTGAACGGATTAGCGCATATGTATTCACCTCTATGCAAACATCATTGGTAATTGCAAATGCAAGAGTTTTGACTTTGCGTTTCTTCATCATTCGTTTTTTCAGCTGATTAGTCATATCCTCCAGCCTTCAAAGAAGACAATACTGGATAAGACAATGAGAATAACTAGGTCTAAGCTAATCTGTGCCGTTCAAACAATAGAATTCTAAAATTACTAGGGACCAACAGAGTAGCTTGTGCATATTAATAGATGACTAAGACTAAGACATTGATGGCCAAGAGTAGACATTACTGAGGTTTCTTAATATAGTGTAAGTCGGTCATTACTATTAATTAGCAACCATACAGAGGTTCAAGTTTAGTGCAACATTAGTTCATATGAGAAACACCCAGAGGCTACTTCACCTAAATCCCATACACGATGCCCAAAAGGCTGGAACACAGACAGGAAGCTATTCAACTTTGAAGATTTTAACAATATACTACAGGGAACTCCAAGCAGAACTGCCACCTACTACAGAAAAATAGAGGACAGCATTGCTACGTCTAATTCTGTAGCACAGGTTATCTCCACTCAATGATGGATCTTTTGTTCCGTACTTTGGTAATGCAAGCAAAAGATGGTATATAGTAAATCTGCAACTATCAACTAATCACTAATCAGAAAACAATCAACAAGTGAAATCGATGCTTAGGGAGCAATACTTTTCACCAGAAGATGGCAGATAATCCACTATTTCATCTCCCTCCAGACCAATTAAATCCTGGGAAATAGGTGTTGTTTAGCCGTTGGAACTTAAAAGGGTTGCGCAATATGTGATAAAAGAGATTTACTGCATAAAACAGGGACATGTTGAACTCCTCATCGGGCCTACTCAAAGGAAGAAGTTCAATGGACAGGCCAAGATCTTGTGCATCCTGTAGGAAGACAATAGACAATTAATGATACAAAGGCCACTAAGAACATGGTATGTTGTTGTGATTCAGCACGAAATTGAACATATATCTGTCATAGGCATACTCTTGCACGTTGGATTGTTGTCCTTATCATATCAGTCTTTACTGCTCCTGTAAGACCACCAAAAGGATCATCTTCGTTGGTGAATATAACAATCCGCTTACTCACAGTCTTCACAGATCTGAAGAATTTATAAAACCACCAGCAGAATGTTCATTCACTTAAAGTATTTAAATATCCTCATCAACATTCAGTATAATGCAAATGGTGCAAAATGCATCATTTTTGCGCAATATGCGAAAATTTTAAATTTGTTGAGTGCACCTGAAAAACAGGTTGAGGTATATAGAGAATATGTTAAAGCTCTAATAGAATTTGTTATTAAAGCTATGCTGCTTTTTAGAGCTGAAGGAGGGAAAGTGGTGTGTTACCCTTTACGCAGCAATGCCTGTGCAACCCAAAGAGCATTGTACAAGGTATTCTCTCGAGATCCAGAAGTTATTCCGTACCGACTTCCAATATTACTCATAAAAGAATCTACCATAAATCAAAATAAGCTTTAGAATCATGTCATGCAAAAAAGGATGCTCAATTTTGCTACACAATAAGTATAGCAGTCCAATTCAATCTACCTGGACTTTCAGACAAAATAAATATAATATAAAACATCAATACGAAATAGTGATGTACTGCTTCTAATGAGATCTTGGAGTCAATTTTACAGAAGAAATATGATATTATCAAACCTTAAGTTCCTAATGGGAACAGAGAAGCAACTCAAGACACAGATAACAGATCATGTGTTCGACTTTCTAAAACACTAGGCATTATAGTCTGTTAAATAAGTTTTGAGAAGAAGATAGAACATATAAGGCAGCACAAATTGTAAGCTAGAAAATGCAGGTGGAATAGGAATGGTGATGATGTGGCAAAAGAAAATGAAAACCCAAACAAATTCTACAGATAGATGATAGGAAAGATTGCATAATCACAAATTTCACAATTTCTCAGAATATTTTGCTAAAAGAAAACAAACATGTCAATCCTATAATATTCCATACAAGTAATGAAAGGCAAGCGTTCAGTTGGACAATTCAATGATGATCTATGAACCATACCTAGTACATGAAAGAAGTAAAGCATGCATATCCCACAAACCTTGACCACATCACCACATTCATGTATTGAGAAAAGAACAATTTATGTAATTACATTACCTTCTATACAAGAAAATTCCTTAATCAATCTTGCATCAGGCCTATCAAGTGGTTCTCTCTCTGTAACATTATAAACATAAACACCAGCCAATTCCTGTAAATTCTTCTTTTCTTTCTGCAATAGTTATGTAAAAACCAGATCAAACAAGCATATCTTGTAATGACATAAGGATAACGATATACAGATCCTACATTGTTAATGATCTAAGGATAGTGAGTGGGATAAGAATATCATAGATTATTTTACCAATTATCTGAGAATCATATATTTATATTTATAATCTCCATGGTGCAAAGTAACAAAATTCAGATCAGCTTTTCAACCAATTAAGAGTTACTGTTACCAAAATATAGCAACTTGTCTTTTTTTTTCTTCCTTTTACCACTTGGCAATTCTGATTCTTTTTTCACATTTTAAGTATGTTCATCTGTCAAGCTTAGAAAATATAATTAATTAAAACTAACAAGCAACAGTGTGGTGTAGACTTACAACACTGTGGATGTTAAATACTTGTAGAAATCATAGATTTAAACAGCAAAGAAATTAACTAGCTGACTAATAGAAGCAGAGTCATAGCAATATATAAGATGACACATAGTTCTTTAATTAGTCTTACCGTGTTAAAGAAACATATAGCGACTTCATCATAGGATCTACCGATAATCTGCGTCTTCAGCGCATGTGTGATGCAGTTCACTATCGTATGAAAATGTGTCTCCTCCTTTTCATCTGCCTGCAATAAATGGCAGAAAAAACATGCTTAACTACTACCTAGCAAAAGAACTTGATTGAACATAGACAATCCAATCCAGACCAAACATCACAGATAAAATAATCGGTAAATGTATCATCCCATTCCCAATATCCATCGCTAATTGCAACACTTGAGCTCGCACAGGGCAGAGAGATTTATCAAATTAGGCGCTGAAGCTGCTGGAATTTCACCTTGGTCGCAGGGGTGAACATCTTGGGCGAGGCGTCGATGAGGTAGACGACCATCTCCTTGTTGGCCTCCCTCTCCTGTTCCCTCCAAGAAACCAAACCGCTCATCAATTCACAGGATTCGAGCCACAGAAAAAATGGGGGATAGGGAAGCTCGAACAGGGTGGAACGCGACCTGGACGTTGTCGTCATCCTCGTCGCTGTCGTCGCGGAAGAGGCCCTCGGGGTCCAGATCCATGGCGCTCGACCGAGACGACGCCTCGGGCACCTTCTAGAAGCTTCTGGAAGCCAACTAGGGTTGAGGTCGCGGAAGCCCTAGGGTTTTAGTTAGGCCTCCACCCTCCGGCTCCGCTTCCCTTGCCGTCGATCAACTCATCATCGCGGTGCGTGGGCCTTCCCACTCCCACGTGGGCCTCGGCCCAACACGGCCCACGGGCCGACCAAAAATGGAAAGTTTTCCCGCCTCCGAAGCGAGCGTTCTTCCCGAGTCCAAATTCAAAATCAAAAAATCCAACCGAAGGACAACTGTATAAAGTACTCCGCCACCAGTATCCCCAATCAAATTTCAGTTACTACAGCATTCAAACGCCCTGGAGCGAAAGAATTTCGCGAAAGAATTTCACAACTCGAATCGCTGATTATTTTTGCACATGAAACATTCGCGACCCATCAGTACTACTAGTACGGTAGAATTCCCAAATCCAAATCAACCAATCAAGGCACATGAAAGTTACAGGCAAATCTGAGGTCAGCATCAAAATTCAAGAACGATTCACAAAGAGATGCACGAGAGATTAAGACGAAATAGATATTTGTATTATGGTTTTTGAGGATGATGGGATCCTATCATTACAGGCGAGAAGATGATGATACCGCCTAGAGGGAGGTGAAACGAACTAAGACGAACAAGCATTTACAGAACACAATTTCTGCTACTACTTGCTGATGATGATGCTAATGGCGCTGTCGCCTGTGGAGATCAAAAGGTGGGCAATCCAATCCAGGTGGCATCATCGCCGGCGACCTCTACTTCATGCTCTTCCTCGCCGCACCCTTGCGAGCAGCCGGCGCCGCAGCCACCGACGCCTTCTTCTTGGTCGCCGCCGCCTTCTTCTTGGCAGCCACCGGCGCCGCCTTCTTGGCAGGCGAGTCCTTGGCAGAGGTCTTGGCGGACTTGGCAGGGCGGCCGCGGGGCTTCACCGGCGAGGTGGCGGTCTTGGCCTTCGCCTTGGGAGACGCCTTGGGCTTCGCCGCCGGCGCGGCGGCGACCTTGATCTTGGTCTTGGTCGCCGGCTTCGCGGCCTTGGTGGTAGCAGGAGCCTTCGCCTTGGCAGCCGGCTTCGCGGCCTTGGTGGTCTTGACCTTGGGCTTCGTGGCGGGGGCGGCCTTGGGCTTGGCGTCGGCGGCGGCCGGAGCGGCAGGGCGGGTGGAGGAGAGCTTGAAGGAGTTCTTGACCTTGGCCAGCTTGCCGGCGGCGGTGAGCTTCTTGAGGTTGCCGGAGAGGAGCTTGCGGAAGTTGGGCGGCAGGTTGGCGCCATGGTTGGCATGGATGTGCTTGCCGATGGCCTGGGAGCTCGATCCAGTCCTCTCCTTCAGCGCCACGATCGCCTCCATGATCATCTGAAAAAAACCCCAAAACAAAATCAGATCCAAACACGCAAAAGCAAACGATAGATCGAGACGAATCCAAAACCCATCCGATGATTTCAATCCAAGAATCCCCGCGACGGCGGAGGGTTGAGACGGTTAGTACCTCGGCGTACGGCGGGTGGGCGGCGGCGACGCGGGGCTTCTTGGCCTTGGCCTCCTTCACCTTCTTCTCCTTCGCCGGCTTGGCCTCCTTCTTCTCCTTCGGCGGCCTGCCGGCCTTCTTCTTCTCCTTCGCCGGCTTGGCGGCCTTCTCCTCCGCCGCCGTCGTCTCCTCGACGGCCTCCTCCGCCGCGGCAGCCTCCACCTCGGTCACCGGAACCTCAGGGACAACCTCCTCAGTCGCCATTGCAGCACGCCCCTCACTCACTCTCCCCTCTACTACTACTCGCAAGAAATGGTCGCGACTCGCGGCGGATTGCTTCCGATTCTGCGGCGGCGGCGGCGGATGTGGGTGAGGAGGCCGGAGGCGAAGACGGCGGCTTAAATAGCGGAGACGAGTGGAGGACTCGGGTGACGCAGCTGACGCGCTGTGATTGGTCGAGACGCGATCCCACGGATTAGCCACGCGGATGCGCGCCACGATCCACCGCAGCCGTCGGATCGGAACCCATCCGACGGCGGGGATCGCTCGACGCGCCCGCGCCACGGATTCCGCCCACGGGATGGGGCTACAGCCGCCGGCCGCTGTTCCCTCGTGTGTTTCTGCCCCGACTTTGCGAGCAAATATCTCTCTCCACGATGGATATTTCACGACGCGGTCTTTCTACGAATTTTAGTTGCTCAAATTAGCTTTCGAACGAGACCAAATTTGTGGGGTTTGGTTGAGAGTCGAGGGAGAAATGGCTCGATGAGTGATGGTTGGTTCGTTTTTGGAAACTATTGTTACTGGTGTGCTTCTCTCCCGACTTCGAGAGGCGATTCCCGTCGACACGATCGACCATTTCGGCTGAGACCACTCCCGTTCTGTAGAGCCAGAAACTAGCTTTCGAACGCGACCGATCCCGCTCGATTTGGTGCAGGGCAGCGCCGGCAATCGGCGATTCGGTGACGGCTGGTCCGGTGGCCCGTGTGACTGTTTGGTCGCCGCCGGCCGTGCTCCGTCCCGGCGGCGCGGCGAGCTCCGGCGACCGTGCGATGGATGGATCACACGGTTTCTGTGCAGTGTGTGCGTGTGCGAGCCTGATTTTTTTTTCCGGGTAGTGGCATCGTGACAGGTGATTAGTGACCGTGTATGACTCACACCGTAAGGATTCGTGCAAATCCTTGTGTGTTGCTTGGTGGGGGTTGGGCTACCGAAGAATTGCGAAAGTTGTACATGTTCAAACTTCCTCACGATTCTGAGAGATGATTACAAGTTAATTTTGTGAGATGGGGAGAGATGGGAAGAACCAGGACTCATGAGATATGTTGGTTCTATAGAAAAATGATAAATGATAATAGTATATACCAATCGACTACTCCCTCCATCTCAAAAAACCCCAACATAGTTAGGGATGGGACATTACCTAGTCCAATGCATCTGGACATATTTCCCTCCGTCCAAAAAACTCCAACATAGTTGGGGATGGGACATTACCTAGTCTAATGCATCTGGACAGACATTACCTAGTCCAATGCATCTGGACATATTGGACTAGATAATGTCCCATCCCCAATTATGTTGGGGTTTTTTTGGGACGGAGGGAGTACATATTTAGCAAAAAGATTGAGATTCTTACCTTCTTTCTACTTCATGACTGGGGAGGAGGATACCAAAAACGGGGCTGGTGAATACCAACTCCATTTCCGATGAAAAAAGAAAGCATGCTCGGTTAGAATTTCCTTGAGATTTTTGCAAGATGATTAGCTATCTATAAGGTAATTTTGTGAGATGAAGAAAGATGAATAGAAGAGTGGGGAATTGATGACGTTATATGTAGATATATGGAAAAATGATGTGTAACGATCACGTAGTCGTTTAGGAGAAAAAGATTGAGTTTCTTACCTTCTATTTGTTTCTCCACGATCCATATAGGGAGATGAGGTACACCTTATACCAAATATGAAGCCAGCGCATCCCAAATCCACTTCCGACGATGTATTATCCATCCAAAATATGGGCTCTACCTTGAGTTGAGTTTTTCATATCCACTTCCGACGATGTATTCTCCATCCAAAATATGGGCTCTACCTCGAGTTGAGTTTTTCGAGCTACCAAGGAGTTGCCTCCATATCACCCTGTCTTGGAGTAGATGGGGGCATGGCAAAGGGGCACTAGTTGAGCGACAGGGTACCGACTAGACAACCTATTGGGAATAGAGGGGTGTGGGGAGAAAGAGGGGAGATCCAGGGGAGAAAGGACACGATGACGAGAGAAGAGAAGGAGAGTGAAAAGGAGATGAAGAGGCAGCGCGGATTTGGGAGTGGTAGCGATTAGGTCTAGAGGGGGATATGGGTATATATAGACAAAACGACTATATCCTAGTCGTACGATCTCTGATCTAACGGCCTCAAATTTAGCCCTTTTTCACGAGAAAAATGTAATGGAATTTTTTCATGATTTGACACTCCTCCAAGTGGCATTCTAAGATTTGACACCGCGCAGCTCATATTTTAACCTTAGTCCCACATGTCATAGACATATATTAGCAAATCTTGAATTGTCATTGTTTGAAGTGGCAAATCCTAAAGCCCCAATGAAGTCAAAAACAATTGTTGTATAGAAGGATTTGGATTATTCTCATCCATATCATAAATAAATTTCCTCCATGTAGCCTTGTGTTGGTTATAACCTAATTTGGATACTAATATTGAGACAGAATGTATGGCGTTATCATGGCACGTCAAAACAAAGCAACAACACAACAACGCTTAACGAAGTTATGCAAAGGTGTTTCAATTGAATGTAAAAACAAAATCGATTTCATGACTGTATGCCAACACAAGGTAATAACTTGTCTCTCATGCACCCTTCATCTTTCCATTCATTTCCTCGTCCCTTTCTCTCTAGCTATCACATCCAAGAGCCCCCACATGTCATCAACAATGTCCAAGCTTCCCACCTTGCAGCACACATCGGACTTGATGTCACATACTTGCATTCATCTTTGTATACCAAACTGGAAATGGTATAGAAAAGCAAAAGATTGTGATGGCATATAGCTCAAAGACTACATGCAAGCACTTGCAAGGCACCAGCACCATATTTTTGTGAAAAGAAAGGCACAAATTACGGTGGATTTACAACAATACTATTTGCTAATAAAATAGTCAATTCTAAGCAATGAGCTTGTCCAAAAATGAATATTTGTCATCAACATAGCATCCATTGATCAATACAAACAAATTTACCACTTTTTCTACCACATGCCATTGTAGACGTAGTTACTACAATATTCTTTACCCGCGTGAAAAGATGAAAATGTCACTCTGTGGGTTGACATTTCTTCTAAATCTCTCTCTCCATTGCCCTACGACACAACCTAAAATGCCAAGAGAATGGCACACAAAGCGCAAATGCATGATGGATGTCCTGGTGTAGCATGTTATTATAAATTATGTTAGACGAGGGGCACACAAACTTGTCAACATGTCTAAACTTTGACCAAGTGAGTGGAGCTCAATCAAACTTTAGGGTGTAGGCTCGAGCTCGAAGTATACTTGAGCTATCATCCTAATACAAGTAGGTGTTGGTATTTATTATGCACACAAATAAATTTGCAAAGTACGGATACCGCTGTAGCACTTTACCTCAGAGTATTCCAGGGGTATCTAATCACAGGGAACGTGTGTGCACTATCTAAGATCGTGATTCATCCAAAGACAAAAACCAAATGGTAGGGTTAGGATAGAGGGGATTCCTATGGGTAATTATCTTAATTAAGTTAAGATATAACTCTATCAGTTGTTTCGGACACTGTCCCTTACCTGGTCTGCTAGAATGAGTCCGGCCTTAAGCTTTATGATATACCCGAACATGGAGGGATATAAAGGACGAACAAAGTTGTCACCACCTACCGCCTACCTTACTTTTCGTGGAGCACACAATAAATGAAGGTAACCTCTAACCTAGGCCCCGCATATACGTTATAATGTCCAAACAAGACCCTTAAGATTATCATGCGGCTTAATATAGTTCTTAGACCCACTTAAAACACTACATGGACATGCCACGTCATTCGTGCATGTAAGATAACATTTAAATGTCCATTTTAACCTTCAATTTTCTATCAAATAAAGAAAATAAAAACAAGAAGAAGCAATCATAAAACAAAGAAAAATGTCAAAAAAAATTTATCTATCAATGCTACATATTTTTGCCAATGGTCAAAAGCTGTTTTTTTTTGTGTTTTCTCAATAATTTTTTTTTATTTCCTATGAAAACATAAGGGTGTAAAGGACATTTAAATATTGAATTTGCATGCATAGATGATGTGGCATGTACACATGGCATGTTTAGAGGGTCTAAGGGCTATATTGAATCACACAATAAACTTAAGGTACTTGTTTGGACAATACGAAATGTCAGGGACTAAAATGATCCTTAAACGAAAGTTCAAGGATCATGTTGGGTATTCACCCTTTTATATTTCTTACACTGATTTTCTTCTGAATGTTCTATACTCGTTATTCATGTTCTGCAGGATTATTTGTTAAATAAATTCTCTCTATGCTCACTATTTGATAGACAAGTTACGATACAAATATGGGTTGATGACAATATATTAAGGAGGTATTAAGGAATCATGCACTGTAAGTTATTTAAGTAATTTGAGGATCCAAATTGGCTGGTGAATATAGACAAGTTATGATCTAATTGGATGATGATTTTTCAAGAAAAAGTACAGGTAAGCTATTTGATAATAAAAAAATTTGGTCCCGGATGTGTCTAGCGACTAGCGGCTGGCAGCCTTGGTGATCATGGGAGCAACAGGGGAGCGAGTGGCGCCATTGACTCAGAGCGTGACTTCACTGGCTGTGGCAGTTCATTGGCACTTTGGCAGCCAACCTAACCTCGCAGGACGGCATCTTCCAGGTTCGAACAAACATCTTCTGCTAATCAACATATTAGTGCAATCCTTGTGTATTGCATTGATGTTACTTTGAAGGTGAACATGTTGCATCCTCAGGTCGTTGCAATTGGCAGATAAGGTAATCACCATCTGCTGGTTTCAAATTGACTCTTTTAATTATGGAAAGGTAAAATCTGAAATATCTTTTGTGAAGCCAAAATAGGAGTGGCGACTGAAATTCTTGTAGAGAACATAAAACAAATCAAGATTTTGTTGGTTGATGATTTTGGATTATATTCAGAAACAATATAGGTATGATCATCTTGGAAAGTTATGATAAATCATATATATATAAATATATGGATCATTGGAAAAAAAATCAGTTGATTTCCTGAATGAATCATATATTGACCATTGGAATTTTTCCCCCATGTGGGATTGTGGGCACTCCTACTTCCATATTGGCTTATAACTGATCGCA